AACCATCTTTCTTCACTCCCATACTTTCCCATTCCAGTCGTCGCATGATGTTCTCAAGGGTGGCACTGAAGAGTTTTGCTGAAATGGTATCACCCTGCCGAACCCCTCTCTTGACATGGATGATTACTTCTTTGTAGAATGGTGAGATCCTGCTAGTGAATCCATAATAGAGCTCATGAAGGATCCTGATGTATTGAGTTTGTATGCCCTGATTGGCTAGGACTTCTATGACTGCTTCCGTCTCAACAGAATCAAAGGCCTTCTTTAAATCAATGAATGTTAGACAGAGCGGCATCTTGAACTCCTGAGAAACCTCAATGAGCTTAGTAATTGTGTGGATATGGTCGATGGTACTGAATCCTTTTTGGAATCCAGCTTGTTCACATGGTTGTTCTTCATCTAGTGTTCTGCTAAGCCTATTTAGGATGACTTGAGTGGACAGTTTGTAGATGATAGACAATAGGCAGATTGGGCAATAGTTGCCAATGCCGTGGATGTCTCCCTTCTTGTACAGTAGTACAGTCTTGCTGGTTTTCCACTGGGATGGAACCTTGCATTCAGACAGGTAGCGTGTGAAGAGCCGAGCCAGTGTATTGATGAGTACTGATGGTAAGTTCTTCAGGTGTTCAGGTCTGATCTTGCCTGGGTCAGGTGCTCTTTGTTTCTTTACCGATGGGATGGCATGTTGGATTTCGGAAGGGAGGACATTGGGAACGACATATCCATCATGCGGAATATGGTATGTGGGCAAGTGGACATGGCTATCAAAGAGATATGAGTAGAAGTCATGAATAATCTTCTCCATTGATAATCGTCTCCATTGCCCTTCTGGAAGATGTGATAGATCCATCAGGATGTTGGAGGGCAGTCATCTTGGTCTTGTAGTTGGTGAAGGACAGGCGGGCATTACGAATGCTTTTCCGGGCTTCTGCCGCATCTACCAGCACAGCTGCTCTCCTGTCTTTGAGGTCATCCTTGATGGCTTCTCTGCACTGTTTTGCCAGTTCGGACGTTCGCTTGCGGTTGCCTGAGGCATGTGCCAAGCCACGTTGGTGAATAAGTTCAAGAGTGTTCGAAGAAAGGCGGTTTTTAGTGGTTATCTCTCTCTTGGCATTCCTTGCACAATCATGGAGGTGCTGAATCATTCGATCGTATTCCTCATCAATGTTGTCAATGACGGCATCTTCCCATGTTGCCGCAACAGAGCCAAAGAGTTCCCAGTAGGTGGTCGTTCTGGGAGTTCTCTTCTTAAACTTTGCATTCTTTTCTCCTCGTTCTGTGAGGTAGAATTTTGCACAAAGGAGAAGGTGGTCCGATCCTGTTTGGAATTTTGGGACAACAGCAACATCGGTTAGGCAAAACTGTCAATTGAATATGATGTGGTCTATTTCATTGTGGAACCATCCACTGGGAGACTCCCATGTCCAACGTTTAGATTCAGCCTTTTGGAACTGTAAGTTACCATGGAAGGTCTTGGTTGACATGATGAACTCAGACAGTCTGTCACCCTGTTCGTTCCATTCTAGGCCATGGGTCCCAATGTGGAGTTCATCGGCTGATCTTCTTGGTCCTATCTTGGCATTAAAATCACCGACAATGATCTTGTAGAAGGTGTGATCTTCTTTATAGAACTTCTCCAGCTATAAGAGAGAGATAGCCACAAAAAAACATCTGTCTTCAAAAACTCTTGAGCTTATTTGCCACTGTGGCTTGGCACAAACCTTAGGCAACTGCAAGTGAACATCTGAGCTCGTAAAGCAGTGCAGAGAAGTGATTAAGGAAGAACTCAAAGAGAGAAGAGCAGCAGTGCTGGCAGACACGGCAGAAGCCAGGTAAAGCATTCGCAACACCTACCTGTCCTTCACCAACTGCACAACCAAGATGACTGCCCTCTGATGTCCTGATGGATCTATGACATCTTCCAGAAGGGCAATGGAGAAGATTATCCATGACTTCTACTCGGATCTCTTCGATAGCTACGTCTACCTGCCCACATACCAAATTCCTCAGGATGGATATGTTGTTCCCAAAGTTCTCCCTTCCGAAATCCGACATGCGAAATCATCGGTAAAGAAGCGAAAAGCACCCAGCACAAAGTCAGACCTTAACACCTGAAGAACCTGCCATCAGTACTCATCAATATGGTGGCTTGGCTCTTCCACGCTACCTGTCTGAATGCAAGATTCTGTCCCAATGGAAAACCAGCAGGACTGTACTACTGTACAAGAAGGGTGACATCCACGACATTGGCAACTATCACCCAATTTGCCTGTTGTCTCTTGTCTACAAGCTCTTAGCTTGAGTCATCCTTAATAGGACTGGTAGAACGCTAGATGAGGGACAACCATGTGAGCAAGCCGGGTTCTGCAAAGGATTCAGCACGATCGACCATATCCACAGGATAAACAAGCTCATTAAGGTTTCTCGAGAGTTCAAGATGCCGCTCTGTCTAACGTTCATTGATTTAAAGAAGGCCTTTGATTCTGTTGAGACGGAAGTGGTCATCAAAGCCCTAGCCAAACAGGGCATTCAAACTCAATACATCAGGATCACCATGAGCTGTATTACGGATTCACTACCAGGATCTTACCATTCTACAAAGAGGTGATCATTGATGCCAAGAGAGGGGTTCGGCAGGGTGACACCATTTCACTGAAACTCTTCAGTGCCACCCTCGAGAACATCATGTGACGACTGGAATGGGAAGAAATGGGAGTAAAGATAGACAGTAGGCAATTATATCACCTCCACTTTGCTGATGACATCGTTCTAATAACACCAAACATTAGCCAACCAGCACAAATGCTGGCCGACTTCGATGAGTGTGGAAAGGTAAGACTACAGCTGAATCTTATGAAGACAATGTTTATGAGAAACAGTCTCGTTCCTGACGTTCCATTTGCTCTCAATGGAACGTCCATCTCCGAATGCAACAGTTATGTGTACCTAGGTCGAGAAGTCAACATGACGAATGACCTGGCACCTGAGTTGCACAGGAGGAAGAGAGCAGCTTAGAACGCCTTCAAGAGCATCGAAGAAATAGAGGACAAAGAACCTCTGGCTCTGGGCACATGTCTTCGATTCCACTGTTTTTCCTGCATTAACATATGCCTCAGAGACCTGGGCCTTACGAAAACAGGATGAGAACGCTATTTGGGTCTCCCAAAGAGGAATCAAAAGCTATGCTTGGAATATTACATTTCACTCAAATAAGAGAAAGAATCCAGAGTTCTGACCTCCCTCGACAGTCAAGAATCAGGAACTCTGATTTGTTTGCCAAGGCGTCGAAAATCAGATGGGCTGGATATGTAATGAGATTTGGAGACGATCGCTGGACTAGAGCCACTATTGACTGGATTCCACGGGACATCAAAAGACTACGTGGCCGCTCACCTACAAGATGGTCAGACTCTTTGTCAAGACCCTGAACGATCGGTTTGAGGCTCTGAATTTTCCTAGAATGAACAAATGCCATTGGACTACACTAGCACGCGACAGGGATGAATGGCGCCTGCTCGAGCAAATCCATGAGTAACGGGAAGTCAAGTGATCAAGTTACCAAATTACTTACAATGAATAGAAAGGGTTAAAAAATTCAAAATTTTGTGCTATCACCATAAAGAGAAAGTAAGAGATCAGCCTATTAAAACTGCCTTCCTAAAACCTGTATGGGTATTGGCAATTAAAATTGGGGTATGTACATGAGCTCAACAGACAGAGTATAAAATACCTGTTCAGACTGAAAATAAAGTACACCGCAGTTTAATGCTAATATTTATAATTTTGTTTTGTTTGAGATTCCTGAGGAACCATATTTATGGAAGTCTTAGCTAAACTCATTTCATTCTGCCAACAATTTGACAGATTTACATTATCAAGTCTAAGAAATATTAAACTTTTCATTTACTTTTCAATGTTTTATTTATTCTTCTTTTTGTTTTCATTATGCTTTCCTTTCTTCATTTAAAACTGAAATCATGGGGTTGGAGCGACAGCACAGTGGGTAGGGAGTTTGACTTGCATGTGGACAACCCGGGTTCGAATCCCAGCATCCCATATGGTCTCCTGAGTACTGCCAGGAGTAATTCCTGAGTGCAGAGCCAGAAGAGCCAGGAGTAAACCTGAGCATCGCTGGATGTGACCCAAAAAGCAAAAAAAAAAAAAAAAAAACCTCAAAAACTTGAAATCAATTGTTATCTTTGTACATACTTTGTATATACATACTTTATGTATATACATATACGTGCTTTACACATATACATACATTATACACATGTATATTTTACATTCAAACTGTGCAATAGAACATTTTTTTCCCTTAGCAATGCACACACATCAGAATATATATATTTATGAATTGTCAAAATTAGAATTTTATACGCATGAAGTTATAGTCTCACCATGAAAGGTGATAATTGTAGGAACTATATATTGTCACTGTCATCCTGTTCATCTTTGATTTACTCGAGCGGGTGCCAGTAACATTGCTATTCCTCCCAGCCCTGAGACTTTAGCAGCCTCTTCTTACTTGTCTTTTTCCAGTGGCTGGAGGCTCTTTCAGGGTCAGGGGAATGAGACCTACTGTCGTTACTGTATTTGGCATATCGAATATGCCATGGAGAGGTTCCCAGGCTCTGCGAGTGCGGGTGGGATACTCTCGTTAGCTTGAACTATAAATTAAATTATTTTAATGGAATAAATCAAACAAAAAAGTAGTGAGGCCAGAGCAATCATACAGTGGGTAGGGTGTTTGACTTGCATGCAGCTGACCTGGGTTCAATCCCTGGCATACCATTTGGTCCACCACGTCCACCAGGAGTGATTCTTGAGCCCAGAAACAGGAGTAACCCTTGAGCATCTCCAGGTGTGCCCCCCCAAATAAAAAAACCCAATAAAGTAAAAATAAATGAGTACTTTGAAATAAAACCACATAAAATTCAAAAGGGGAGTTAGCTATATCTTTACTTGCTGTAGTACATGGACAAGTCATCTCTTCTTACCTGACTTTTAATAGCAAGATTTCTCTCAGTTTTAGTTTGGTACTCTTTGTGTTCCTTTTCGGCGCCATCTTTTTCCATTTTGAGTTTATTCAACTCATAGCGCATTTCCCCAAACACCTGTTAAATATAAAAATTAGATGAATTGCTTCTAGAATCTACTAGGTGATGAATACAATTAGATCTTTTGGTGCCTCTTCAAGGTTATATACTAAAATACAATACTTTCCTAACTGCCATTTTATATTATAGTCATCCTGTCTTATCCTATCATACACCATTCCATCACATGCCACGTCACTCCACCCCATTCCATAGAATATTCAAGGTACTCTGCTAATGCAAAGAGGTAATATATCAGGTTTTAAGATTGTGGATAAAGAACACATAATTAAGAACTGTAAGAAATGTTCCCAAGATTCTTTAATATAAAATACATTTTAAATTGCATATTATTACCAAAAATTAGCATCACCTCAAATTTAACCAGGTAAATTTTTTTGATATTTATTTATTTTATGGAGCTTCAGCCTTTACTAAAAAATTGTTAATGTGTTTCTTAGAATCTCTTACTTATTTTATCTATTTTAAAAAAATTTTTATTAGTGAAAACACCATGAGGTACAGTTGTAGACTTACAAATTTTTGTGCTTGCGTTTCAGTTATACAATGATCAAGTACCCATCCAACCACCAGTGTCTATTCTCCACCACCAATGATTCCAGTATCCCTCTCACACACCCCCCCCCCCACTCGCCACCCCACCCCACTTTTGTGGCAGGGCATAGAAGTACAGATGTCATTTTGACTGTACTTTTTTTGCCTTTCTGGGATATATTCCCAGGAGTGACCAGGTAAAATTATTAATTAAAATATCACCCTGTTCTTTATGATTAGTATATAATTTTCATTTAAAATAATTATAAGATTTTCTTTTCAAGAATTCATCAGGTGGATGCAAAAAAGCACAGTAGAAATGACATGTGTACCTATATGTTCATTGCAGCACTGTTTACAACAGCCAAAATCTGGAAACAACCCAAGTGTCCTAGAACAGATGACTGGTTAAAGAAACTTTGGTACATCTACACAATGGAATACTATGCAACTGTTACGTGAGATGAAGTCATGACATTTGCTTATAAGTGGATAGACATGGAGAGTATCATGCTAAGTGAAATGGGTTAGAAAGAGAAAAACAGACATAGAAGGACTGCACTCAATTGTGGAGTATAGAATAACATAACATGAGGCTGACACCCAAGGACAGTAGATACACGGAATAGATAGATTGCCCCATAGTTGGAAGCCTGCCTCATGAGGGGAGGGGAGAGGACAGATGGAATAGAGATGGAATCACTAAGAAAATGATGGCTGGAGGAATCAGTCGGGATGGGAGATATGTGCCAAAAGTAGATAATGGACCAAACATGATAACCTCTCAGTGTCTGTATTGCAAATCATAATGCCCAAAAGTTGAGAGAGAGTATGGGGAATACTGTCTGCCATGGAGGCAGGGGGAAGGTGGGGTAGGGGTATACCGGAGAGATTGGTGGTGGGAAATGTGCACTGGTGGAGGGATGGGTGTTTGATCATTGTATGATTGTAACCCAAACATGAAAGCTTGTCACTTTCTCATGGTGATTCAATAAAATAAAAAAAAAATAAATTAACAAAAAAAGAATTCATCAGGTTGGAGTTGGGCTGGAGCGATAGCACAGTGGGTAGGGCGTTTGCCTTGCATGCAGCCAACATGGCTGACCCGAGTTCGATTCCTCTGCCCCTCTCAGAGAGCCCGGCAAGCTACTGAGAGTATCTCGCCCGTGCGGCAGAGCCTGGCAAGCCACCCGTGATGTATTCGATATGCCAAACACAGTAACAACAAAATCTCCAATGGAGACGTTACTGGGCCTGCTCGAGCAAATTGATGAACAACGGGAGGGTCTTTACCTTTACCTTTACCAGGTTGGAGTTTAGTTAAGAAAGTTTATAAAGAAAATTTTCAATCTGCATAATAGCTATTTATATAATAATAATGGTGATAACATTATTGATATTTAAGTATATAGTGAAGGTACTGCATGGCTGGAGCGATAGCACAGTGGTAGGGCGTTCGCCTTACAAGAGGCCAACATGGCCGACCCGAGTTCGATTCCTCCGCCCCTCTCGGAGAGCCCAGCAAGCTACCGAGAGTATTTGATATGCCAAACACAGTAACAACAAAGTCTCCAATGGAGACGTTACTGGGCCCGCTCGAGCAAATTGACAATCAACGGGAGGGCCTTTACCTTTACCTTTTAAGTATATAGTAGTACCCAGTATATACTGGTAATACTTCAATTGTATGTCTTACCAGTAAATACACAGTGCTGGGCTAGAGTGATAGCACATTGGTAAGGCATTTGCCTTGTGCGTGGCCAGCCTGGCTGAGCCAGCTTTGATTCCTCTGCCCCTCTCGGAGAGCCTGGCAAGCTACCGAGAATATCTAGCCTGCATAGCAAAGTCTGGCAAGCTACCCATGACGTATTCAATATGCCAAACACAGTAACAAGTCTCACAATGGAGACGTTACTGGGCCTGCTCAAGTAAACCGATGAACAATGGGAGGACAGTGCTACAGTGCTAAGAAGTTTTGAGAGGCAAAAGTCTTAATCTAAATATAAGTATTTATAACTGCAGCTGCCAAATAAAGAGAAAATATATATTTAAATGAAATCACTTTAATATATCATTAAATAATGAGCATACATTATATCAATGTTTATATATCATTCTTTATCCAATTTATTAAGACATTGGGGTTAAGGCACTTGTCATGCCTTTTATTAAGCTCAGTTCAATCCAGCACTATATACAGTCACCTAAGCACTCCCAAGATCTTTGAATATACCCCCAAAAGAAATTAGTTTCATCGATACTTGAATATTGCCAATTTAAAGTGCAATTCCCATGCTCAAATAAACTTACTTTGAAAAATAAACAAGTCTGATTTCAAATGCTGCAGTTTGAAGACAGGAAAAAAGGTAGTAAATTTTTCACTTGTTTAAAAAGTGAGTTCATTTTTTAAAAAGGAATTCAATGGGGTAGGGAGACAGATCAAAGGGCTAGTGTGCATGTCACAATGGGTTCAATCTCAGAAACATATGTTCCATAAGCAAAGAGCCAGGAGTAGCCCCTGAAGTACCCATGATAAAATCTAGGTCTTCACATATATTACAAGATATTTACTCTACCAGTTCTGTCCCAAGCCCAGTCCCTAGTAATGCAAGTCATAAATTATTTAATACTTAGAGTAATAAAATGTCTCTTCATAAGTTTCTCTCAGCTATTTACTCTCTCTAATCACTTTGAAGACATTATTTTTGTCCATAGCAACTAGCAAAGAAGACACCAACTGGTATGTAGTAATCAAAAAAAACATTCTATAGGAGCCACAAACAATGGAACTGGAAAGGGAGGGCCTGGTGTTTCTCAGCGATATATACCCAGCAGAACTAGAATGATGGTTCTGTGCTTTGTTTTAATGGGTGATAGTGATAGTGTCGTTCAACTGGAATTAATTGATGGCCATCAAGACCATACATGGCCATATATGGTGCAATGAGAGGACCACAGGTGTACTGGGAAAGACATGTCACATAGTAACAGTGATTAAATTCCGTGCCTTCTACATGCTATGCATGTTCTTTAGCACATACTATGTCTAGCGTCCTGAGGTGAACTTACATCATCTTGAAATAATAAAACATTTCTACTCCAAACTACTTTTTGAGCTCTGTATGTTAGGAAAAAATAGAGCTCTGTATGTTAGAAAAAAATACAAATGAACTACTTAAGTAATTTTTAAAATAAAATGTGCCATTTTACCTTTGCGGCTTCCATTTCCTGGGAAGCAAGCTTCTTCTGAATTTCCTCTAATTGATTAGTAGCTGCAATCTTCTCTCTTGTAACCTTTTCAACATTGGCCTCTAGTTGGGCAATATTCTGAGACAATGCCAACATCTATAAGAAGAAATAAAACTCTTAAATGAGGATGTTATTTTAAAGAATAAATGCTTAAAATATTTTGAATTAATATGGTCTTAGCCTACAATCCTGGGCTCTAGCATTTCTCTGTGGAATGGGTATGTCCATTTTTCTATTGCGTCAACTCATCTATGCGGGGTTTAAATATATACTTCACATCTGGGAATATACCCTGGAGGCCCAAAAACACACTGCAGAAAAGCAATCTGTACTTCTATGTTCATTGCAGCTTATGAGATGCTGAGAAGGGGCTCAGGGAATCATACAAGATGCTGAGGATTGAACCCAGGTCAGTCGTGTGTGAGCTGAGCAACCTAATCACTGTACTACCACTCCAGTCCCAGAAACTATGTTTTAAAAAAAGAAATTGAGATTGATTGATTTTGAAGTGATATAAAGTTGGAATATATTAAAATAATAATCCTGAAAAGTATTTTTTTATTTAGATGGTTGGGATGCTATGTTTTCTGGAAACAAGAAATATATATTTAACTTAGAGCTGTTAAATACCCTTATCAAAAAATATTGGCTACAAATCTAATTTGAACATAAATAATATTCTTACTAATACCAAACTATAAATTATCCTTATGTGTATTACAGTCTAAACTTAAAATTAAATTCATAAGAATCAAATGATAAATGAATCAAATTAAATAAAAATATTAACTTTTTATTATTTTTTAAATTATGAAATTTAAATTTAATATTTAAAAGATAAGCTCATAACTATCCAATTTATGAAATGGGCTAATATTGCTTTTCGGTATAACCATACAACAGCAAATTTTAATTATCAGTTACTAAAAATTAGTGTTCTGCAGGGCGTTTGTCTTGCATGCAGCCAGCCTGGCCGAGCCGAGTTTGATTCCTCCGCCCCTCTTGGAGAGCCCGGTAAGCTACTGAGAGTATCTCGCCCACATGGCAAAGCCTGGCAAGCTACCTGTGATGTACTCAGTATGCCAAACACAGTAACAACAAGTCTGCCTCTGCCACCCATCACTTCTTTTCTCTGCTTACTACCTGCCTTTTCCTTCACATCACTTACTTTTTCAGATCTTACCTCCTGCTGTTACACCTTCCCCCTGCCCCCATGCCTACCACCTGAAAGTTAACACTACACTGCAGAAAATTCTCTATATACATCTGTTGTATAGACAGAAGTAACAGTAAAGCTGCAACAATGATGGGTATTCGAGGTATCAACATCAGGTAAAACTTTAAACTTTGACAGTTGTAAAGAAGAAACAAGGACACCCATGATTTGGGGGTGGGGAAGGCAGAGCAATAGCAGAGTGTGTAGGGCATTTGCCATGCACACAGCTGACCCAGGTTCTATCTCCGGTATTTCATATGGTTCTCTGAGTACCACCAGGGGTAATTCTGAGTGCAGGAATAACCCCTGCACATCACAGACTGTCACCCATCCCCTCCCACAAAATAGATACACCCAAGATGAGAGAGCTTGATAGAAAGTTATATACAAAAGTAGTCCTTGGAGTACTGAACAAGTTATATAACAGTACTCCTTATAAAAGATAAAAGAATTTAAGAATTCTATTCCTGACTCATAGAGTGTGGTTAACTTATAACGAGCATATTACAAATGAATTACCTAAAAACCTGAGTGGCTTAGTGTACCTTGGATCCTTTACTAAAGTAGATAAAAATCACAAGTAGCGGGGGTGGAGCGATAGCACAGCAGGTAGGGCTTTTGCCTTGCACATAGCTGACCCACACAGCTGACCCAGGTTCAATTCCCAGCTTCCCATATGGTCCCCTGAGCACTGCCAGGAGTAATTCCTGAGTACAGAATCAGGAGTAACCCCTGTGCATTGCCGGGTGTGACCCAAAAAAGCAAAAAAAAAAAAATCACAAGTATTGATTAAAAATTTGTTAAGGTATTTGTTAAGTATCTATCTTCTGGATCTTCACAAAAAATAATCTCTTTAAAGTAAATAAAACAGGGTCCTAGGAAGCTTAGGCAGTAGTACTGAGGCACTGCTTGTTATTCAGAATCGGCATTTTGCACCCAGATTAGGTTGACCCAACCCCTCAAAGTGGAAGGGGAGGGAAAGGCTATTAGCCACTGCAGCATGGCTCCACCTAGTACTGATTCCATATAAAGGCACAGCAGTGGCAGAGCACAGGCACTGCTTCCTACTCAGCATCACCTGGTCTTTTACGGCAGGTTAGAATTTCCCCTGCCTGTGAAGTAGAAGGGAAAGAGAAGGCTGTTTTGCTACCTACTCAGGCTTGTCTCTGTTTAATCCTGTTCCAGGAAACTGAGGCATCACAGAGGTGGTGGTGGTCTACTATTTGTTACTAAGAATTGCCATTTTGCCCCTTTTACTGGGTTAGTAACTTCCCAGTCCATAAGGCCTGTGGCCACTCTGTGGCTGCACATTACTTCATCTCTTTAAGCCTCACAATGACCATGCAATGATATACTAACCCCGGTCACCTTGCTACACAAGAACACACAAGAAACACCTCCAGACTGCAAAAGTTGCGGTGGAAAAGCAGTGTAGAAAATCACTAGGTATGGTGAGTGAAGATGGTAGCCTAGAAGACTCAATCAAGAACGAGCCATATATACACTCTGATAAGGACTTTAGAGAGGAAATTTATTTAAGGTATTTAAGTAGCTCAAAGAAAAAATGGAATGGATCACCAATACAACACAAGAAGATACGAGAGCAGAAATGAGAAAACTACAAACAGAAATGACAGTAATGAAAAACAGAATATGCAAAATGAAAAACTCACTGGAAGGTCTCAGCAGAATAACAACTGCTGAGAACAGAAACAGTGTATTCCAAGATGAGTGCAGAATACCTCCAGACAACAGCAAAGATGGCGGGGGGGGAGGGGGAACCTCAAAATAAACAAACTGCTGACAGAACTTTGGGATGAGTTCAAGAGGAACAACATAAGAATCATCATGGTCTCAAAGGGTCAGCAAGATAACCCTGATGAAGAAGGAACAGTCAAAGACAACATTGCTGACAAAGTCTCACAGCTGGAGAACACATGCATCTAGATACATGGAGACCAAAGTGTGCCAGCTAAAAGAGATCCAAATAAGAACACTCAAGACATATCTTAACCAGAATAACAAAAAAACATAGATCTTCAAAGAAGCAAGATCAAAGAAGGAAATTATATATAAAGGAGCATCCTTAATATTTACAGAAGATTTTCCAATGAAACTGTCTTCTAGGCCCATAGTCAGCGGTAGTATACAGTGAATAAACTCAATGAAATGAATACTTACCAAGAATGCTTGCTCTACTGAACCAGAATCTCTTTCAGATTTGAAGGAATGATAAAAACTTCACAGATAAATAGTAACCTGGAACTTCACAGGCTCAAAACTATCTTTAAAGTTAGAACTAATGGACATAATTTAAAGGCAAGACAAACATCACAAACACACCAAACTCCTGCAGAAAGATGACATAAAACCCCATGAAAAAATTTCTCTCAATATCAATGGGCTAAGTGCACTAATTAAGAGATGCAGAGTGGCAGAATGGATTAGAAAATTGAATTCCAACATTCTTCCTCCAAGAAGCACATTTGGATAGACAGAAAAAGGACAGATTCAAAGTCAAAGGTTGGAAGACAATTTTTCAAGTAAAATAATTCCCTCAAAAATTTTGGAGTGGCCACACTCCAGACTTCAGGATGTAAAAGATTATAAGAGACCTACAAACCACTTCCACCACTGTGTAAGCTCAATCTACCAGCCTTTTTCCAGAGTCTCATAAGTAAATCTCAAAAGAAATCAAGAGATCAACTAACCACAAAAATTTCTCAGACACATTTCCCAGCTGAGACATCTAGGGAACTGTTGGAGAGGGCTGGGCTAGGACCCACCCATACAAAGCCCCAGCAGCCACTGACTCTCATGCTCCAAATTTACCATCATTCCTCTGGCCGGATGCCATCATTTAAGGACTGAGCCTCACAGAGAACTTAACCTGTCCCAAACTTAAGTACATGTGTCCCTGCGACCAAAAATTCCAGGCTTTTTCAGAGTCAGCATGGGTTATGTTCCCCACCTTCCTGTACTTCTAGATGCCCAGACAGTCATGCCCAGGAACTGCTGCTGAAGCTATGTAAGCTCATCTACAGGCCTTGTTCCAAAGACTCATAAATCTTGAAAGATCTAGTCACAAAAACATCTCAGACACACATTTCCAGCTGAGACATCTGGGAAACACTCAAAGTGGGGTGGTCCAGGGCCTGCCCAAACAAAGCCCAGAAAACTGCTTGCTCCCACACTCTGAAGATGCTGTGATGACTCCAGTGGGATTCCATCTCATTAGGACTAAGACTCACAGTTAAATTAACCTGCTGAAAACTCAGGCACACTGTGATTGAAAACTTCAGGCCTTCTCAGAGTCAGAATGCAATACCTCCACTCACCTCCCTGTACATTAAGGAGTGCCAGCAGTCATTCCCACACCCCAAAGTTGAAGCTTAGTTAAAAATTTAACTCCAGCTGTACCACTCAGTTAAATATCTGGAGCAAAATCTCAAAACTCTACAATACTGACCATCCAGTAGTAGCACACCAGATTGAATGGGATGCAACATAGAAACCAAGCAATCTGAACTACAAAAGAACACAAAAGACTTAACCGGTAACATCATCTTAGTAAGCACTCTGAAAATGACTTAATGTTTCCATGGTTGAGATACAACAGTTTTTACTAATTTTCTTCCAAGGAAATAATTTTTGATCATTCCATTAGCAATTTATTGATAACAATATAAAATAAATTTTTATGGGCCTGCTAAGGGCTCTAGGCTTGGTTGGGAAATTGGAGACAATGGTGGAGGGAAGATGATAGTGGTGGTGGGACTGGTGTTGGAATACTGAATGCCTATAAAAAGTCATCATAAACAATTTTATAAACTTTATGAAGAATGTTTTAAGTGCTACAATGAGTAATGGTGTGCATATATCCTTTTCAGGGGATGTATTCATGTCCTGGGGGTAGATGCTATGGGAGAGTAGTATAGGTATATATCTAAATTACTGATTCAACAACACTTAAAATTTAAGATCTAAGCCATAAGCACCAAACTTTGCGATGTGTTGGTCAAGATGGCAGGTAGGGGTGAGGTGGACGGTGAAGGTCATGGAATATGGGAATACCGGTGGAGGGAAATTGACTCCAGTGGTGGGATTGCATTGAAATATTGTATGTGTAACACTAAAATATCAGTAATTTTGTAAGACACTGTTATTGAAACCCAAGCACAAAAACTTGTAAGTCTACAACTGTACCTCATGGTGTCTCTCTAATAAAAATTAAAAAAAAAATTTTTTCTTAAATGCAGTCTTTGGCCTCAAAGCCTAAGAATGAGGAAATAAAATGAAAACTGGAAGCTTGGTGCCACTTGAACTAGAATGTGTGCCCAGAAGTATCTGATCAATAGAGAAATAGGGCCTTGTGTTAAAAGTAAGAACCCTTCATTTTGTATGACAGGGTGTATACAAACATGCAATACCATAATTGATAGTTATTAAAAAGATCACGTATTTTCAAGTCTCCAAGTCCATGGAATTTTTTGGACAGGTGGAATATTTTCTTAAATATTTATTTATGGATATATTACTTTAGGTCAACCTCTCTCATTAAGTCTATAAGCTTTCATCTTTATGGAAAACCGAACTGGTCCTGTGGCTACTATTCATAGGCCCTTCAATCTATTGAATGCTGAATTAATGAAAGAAGAATGCTAAGATCACTTGAAAATATAAAAGGAGATATGAACACTACTGACCATGAATAAGTATACAGTAGTGTCAATTGAAGGTTCTGGGATGTTAGAGATCCTGGACATCATTCCCCAGGGCTGAGAAAATAGATGGCTAGTTTGACCTACAGTAGGATTTTGACAGGCACTATTTAAGAAAAACGGATATAAAGACAAGGAGTATACCATAAATAAGACTTAAAACTCACTGGAAAAGTTATTATTTTTTTCTCTCTATATCCAGAATGCTTTCAGATTGCCATACACACAAATATATAAAAGGAAAATTCTGAATGAATTATTACACAGTAACATATTATAATGACAGAGAATTTTGGGTACTAGATATTAGTTTCCTTTATACAAAAGCACACAATGGTTTCATTTGTTACTACATAGACCACATACTGTTCAATTTTACTCTTTTATCAACTTTAGAGATACTTTCTTTTTCTTAAAGTTTTATCTGGGATGACGGAAAAGTGGGAGAATTATTTCTGAAATCATATCTAAGTAACGAAAGAATACCTCCTTTTTGTCAAACGTGAGAGGAAATCAAAAACAATAGCAGAAATGAAACAAATTTAAAATTTCCACATCATAGAATCTGATTATTTTAAAGACAATATAAAACTTTCACTGGAGTGCATGGAGAAACAGAAAATCTTTATGAGATGAATTTAAGTAACTTGACTAAGATTTTAACATTTAAATTTCATTCATGAATTTCAGCCTACTGATCATCAGTAGACAGAGTCTCCTACCCTATGCCTGACTGTCTCCACCAGGGCCCAACAGCTGAAGACCACCGAGGCCCAGCCAAGGCCTTGCTGGGAGCACTCTCCACACACTTGGATGAGCCTCACGCATAAAAGAACTGACAGAGGAACCCAGGTGTGTGGGACCCGGGGCTGAGATCTCCAAGCCTGTACAGTTTGGGACTGGACCTGCCAGTAACTAGACAGTTACACCCACCAACTGCCGTGTAACTCCAACAACGGCCAGGATCCAGAGATTTTCACACTCAGCTCCCGGAAGCGCGCGGCCGCATTCGCGGCCGCGCGACATCTTATCATCTCATTCCTAATTCGGTCAAACTGGCAGGCTACCAAATGTAACATGCCCACACGGCAGAGTCTGGCAAACTCCCCGTGGTATACCCAATATGCCAAATACCAGTAACAATGATGGGTCTCATTCTCCTAAACCTGAAAAAGCCTTGAATATGGCACTTAAAAAAAGAAAAATCTCAGGGCTAGGACGAAGAAGACGTTACTGGCACCTGCTTGAGGCAATCGATGAACAACAGGGTGGTCGTGATTGTGATCGTGATCATCAGTGATATCGCTATAAAATATATTCTGTCATTAGATAATGGTGAATTATTAAGTACCTTTGATTTCATGTCCTCTCTTTCTTTTGTTATTTCTTTTTTAAAAACCTCTTTCTCAAAAGTTCGTTTCTCTTGCTGAGACGCAAGTAATTTTTCAAGGCGCTCTGTTTGCTTTTCAAGCTCATTCTTCAATTGCTCACACTGTATTAAAGTCTGTCAGAACAAGAAAGTGAAATGGAAGCTTGGAGTTTGAAAAAATAGGAGAAAAATAGATTATTAAACTTTGCATTTACTTAAAATAGTTAAAATTCACTGCAGAGTAATTTTTTGTACCTTTGTTTATACCACTGACTTATCTAAAATGTCATTCTAATGTTATCTTAATCAATTTTCAAAATTAAGGCTATGAGTAACAAAAGACACAACATTGTAGGAGACTTTCTCTATGGGCCAGAAAGCTGGCAGCGGTTTCACTCACACTCTATGATGGACACTGCACACCTCTAATACTTGTCATCCTGGTCCCCAGCCCCTGCCACTCCCCACTCCCCTCAAACACACAGGTCAGATTAGAAGAGGGCAAGGTTTTCTGCACAGCTAGAAGCATGGGTAGGAGCAAAAGACCACCTTGAAGGAAAGATTTATCCTGTTGATAAGCAAATTAGTTTTGAACCCACACTCTGAAATGGACACTACATGCCTCGAATGCTTAGGTCCTTCCACAGGTCAGACCAGCACTGGGCATGGTTTTCTGAGTTAGCTATGTTAGCAGCCACCAGTTAATCTCTTCACCATATCCCATAAGATCCACAAATTGGCTTCTTCTACAGAACTCTCACTAGGGCTGACTGGTGATCCCTACCATATTAGGCCAATTAGCCCCTACTCCAATCAATATTCCCCCAAATCTAACAAAAGTAACGGTGAGTGGAAGAAATAATATAACCCTAATAAAAAATAACAGTCAGTTCAAGCCAAATAACACATTTCCTGAATCAATACAAGAGGCTCCACACAAATACATAGGAGCACCAAACTATAAGGGAATATCTTCAACTGTGAAAAAGAAACCATCAGCCACCAAGCTCCCCTTGAGTCCTCCCTGGCAGTGTGGGGGGAACACTGATAATGTATTGGAAAGAACCACATCCAGACTATAACAGGCACCATGGGGAAACAGCACAGAACTCCACTACAATAAGTGGGTGACGATAGGAGCCTTAAAACTTCAAAACGGTATACCCACATACATAATCTCTATGATAAAGAATTCAGAGATGAAACGGTGAAGATGTTTAATGAGTTCAAAGAAACAGTGAAATAGACATCCAATAAAATACAGGAGGATATAAGAGAAACAGTGGAATGGACAGCCAATAAAAAAAACAGAGGATATGAGAGCAGAACTAAGAAAACTATATGTAGAAATGTCAATAAAAACAAATTCAGTAAATAAAATGAAAAACTCAGTGGATACCCTCAACAGAAGACTAACAGCAGCTGAAGACGGAATCAGTGAACTTGAAGATGAGATGCAGAAAACTTCCAGGATACAGCAGAACATGGAAATAAACTCAAAATAACTCAGGGGCAGACAAGAGTACTATGGGACGAAATCAAGAAGAACAAGATAGAAATCATCAAAGTTCCAGAGGGACAGGAAGGCAACCCCAGTGAGGAAGTAACAGTTACTGCTGAAAAGTTCCCGGAATCAGAGAATGCAAACATCCAGACAGATCCAAGAAGCCCAAAGAGTACCAGTTAAAAGAGGCCCTAATAAAAATATTTCAAGACATACCCTAATTAAAATTATGAAAACATAGAGACAAAATACTAAAAGCAGCAAGATCAAAGAGATACAGAAGAGAGTCCCTTAGGTTTACAGCAGATGAATAGAATGCAACCCTTCAATGACCAAAGTCATTGATGGAATATAGAATTAAAAAAAAAACTTAATAAAATAAATGTCTTACCAGTAATACTTTACCAAGTAATACTCTCATTCAAATTTGAAGGGATGATACACAACTTCATAGAAAAAACAACAGTTTTAGAACTTGAGACTCAAAATCAACTTTGAAAGAACTGAAGGGCAACACAAACCCCACAACCACAACAAACTTCCAAAGAAAGAGCACAAAATCCCATGAAAATAATGTCTCTCGATGTCAACGGTCTAAAGACACCAAGAAAGAGACAAAGAGTGACAAAATGGATTAAAAAAATTGGATCCAACATTCTGCTGCCATAAGTAACACCTTTGAATAGTCAGAGCAAACACAGATTCAAAGTCAATGGCTGAAGAACAATTCTCCAAGCAAACAACTTCTTCAAAAAGGCCAAGGTGGCCATACTATAAATTTATCTGATGACATAAATTTCAAGCTGAAAAAAGGTTAAAAGAGAAGTGAAGTTCATTTCTTAATAATCAATGGAAGAAATGACATCATCAGGAAGAAATTACATCATTATTGGGAGGAAACTGTATCATCATCAGGAAGAAATTACATTCCTACACATATATGCTACACTCCTACATAAATATGCACCTTCACCGAGAGGTCAGCAAAATAGTTAAAACAACAGCTAAGAAACTCTTAAAGTCTTAATAGTACACTGGTAGCAATACAATACTGTTTTGTCACCACTTAAAAGATCAAGGAGAACTGAAGCTCAGAAAAAAAAATACTGATTTTTAAGGATGAAATGGAAGACAGCAGTCTAGTAGATATACACAGGGCTTTTTATCTCCCTGAAACCAAATACACATTCTTCTATAGTGCACAGGAACATTCTCCAAGACATACCAATTGCTGGGCCACAAAATATGCCTCCATAAAAAAAAATTTAAAAAATAAAATAAAAAAAAATAAAAAAAAGAGAATAGAAATGGTATCATCTCTCTTTTTAGACCATGATGTACTGAAAATAGAAATCAATCACATACAGAATCAAATCAAACACCTGGAAATTTAAACAGCTCACTAATGATCAACTATTGGCTTAGAGATTCCTGGAAGCAAAAAATGAGGACCGAAGCTACAAGAACTTGTGGGACACAGCAAAATAGTGTTAAAAGAAAAGTTTATAGCTCTTCAAGTATTCATCAGAAAGAAAGAAAGGGCTCAGATAAATAACTTGACTACAAAGTTTAAGACCTTAGAAAATGACCAACAAAAGGAGTCCAAAGCAGGCAGGAGTAAGGAAATAATAAAATTCAAAACAGAAATTAGAGTTAGAATCTCAAAAGACAAACCAAGAGATCAATAAAACCAATAGCTGTTTATTTTTATTTTTATTAATTTTTAAAATTTTTATTAGTGAAACACGAGGTACAGTTGTAGACTTACAAGTTTTTGTGCTTGGGTTTCAGTTATACAATGATCGAGTACCCATCCCTCCACCAGTGCCCATTCTGCACCACCAATGATCTCAGTATCCCTCCAACCTCCCTTATCCCCCCCATCCCATCCCACCTCGGTGACAGGGCATTCTCTTTTATTCTCTCTTTCCTTTTGGGTGCTGAGGTTTACGAAAGGGGCATTGAGTGGCAATCATGTTCGGTCTATAGTCTTTCAGCATGCATCCTCCATCCTGGGAGGATCCTTCCAACCCCCTTTTCTTGCTGTTCCCTTCTCTGTCTGAGCTGTCTTTTCCCCTAGCATGTGTGGCTAACCTTCAAGTCATGGACTGAACCTCCTGGTACTTATCTTGACTATTCTTGGATGTTAATCTCCCTCCTATTTTGTTACTTTATATTCCCCAGATGAATAATAGCTGTTTTTTTTTTTAAAAATAAACAAGATCGATAAATCACAAGCAAGACTCGCAAAGAAAGGTAGAGAGAACACTACAAAAACTGGATCAGGAATGAAGAGGGAACATCAAAACAGATACCACAGAAATTCAAAGTATCATCAGAGATTACTTTCAGTATCTTTATGCCAAGAAACAAGAGAACCTAGAAGAAATGGATACATTCCTGGATTCACATAACCTCCTAAGGCTGTACCAAGATTTGGATACCTGAACTACCAAGGAAATCGAAATGGTAATTGAAAATCTTCCCCAAAACAAAAGCCCAGACCCAGACAGATATAGCAGTGAATTATTTCAAATATTTAGAGTTACTGCCACCCTTTCCAAGATTTTCTAGAAAATTGAGCAGAAACACTCCCAGTTTCTATGAGGCAAGTATCACCCTAATACCAAAAGCTGATAGAGACATGAGAGAGAGAGAGAGAGAGAGAGAGAGAGAGAGAGAGAGAGAGAGAGAGAGAGAGAGAGGAAGCTTTTAATTCCTGATGAACACAGAAGACCTCCAGAACCAGCTACAACCATGCTGAGACCACTCTCCACACGCATGAAGGTACCGGTAGAGGAACAAAGGCATGTGGGTCCTGTGGCTGAGATCTCCAAGCCTGCTCAGATCAGGGCTGAGCATCCTCTACCCAGATCCTCCATCTTCCAGTAGGCAGGGGTCACACTCACCAACTGGCCCCCTGGTGCCGTGTAATCCCATCAATGGCCAAGACCCAGAGACTATAAAACCCAGCTCTCAGAAGATATCTTATTATCTCATTCTTACTTTTGACAAACTGGCAGGCTACCGAATGTAAACTGCCCATATGGCAGAGTCTGGCAAACTCCCCGTGGCGTACCCAATATGCCAAATACCAGTAACAATGATGGGTCTCATTCTCCTAACCCTGAAAGAGCCTTGAATATGGCACTTTTTAAAAAATGTTAGGGCTAGGAAGAAGGAGACGTTACTCGGGCCTGCTCGAGGCAATCGGCGAACAACAGAATGATTGTGATCATGATCGAACACAGATGCAAAGATCCTTAACAAAATTCTAGCAAATAGAATCCAACAAGTCATCTAATGAGATCATACACCATGATCAAGTAGATTCATTCTGGGAATACAAGGGTGATTTAATATTTGGAAGTCTAGGCCACATGGCAGCAGCAGAGATGGGCCGTCCCATCCCATCTCCCTGCCCGCCTGGGGTCCTGGCTATCATGCCCACGATCTGCCTCTGGGTACCATCCTCAACGCATCAATGACCTTAATCCAAAAACTCCCAAATGAATCTCAAAATGGATTAGCTCCCTATAGAGATGTTTCTGGACCTCAGTCATTTATAATTTTAGAATTCTGGAAGCGTGAGGCTGCTTTCCCAACCATGTGACATCTCCGGATATTCATA